ATTTGGTACTACTGCCTCATGTACCGTTGAAGTTACTTATGTTCTCTACTGCAACTCTGCTCAAATGTGTGTGTAACTTTTCGCTTGTGGTGTTACAAGGATTCTGGTGACATCACTGGTGTGTCATGTGTCAAACATAAATTTGCTGAGCTCTGCTTTGATGGATGTTGCTTTCTTTAGTGTCCCTGATGCTGGTGATACACCGATAGTTCTTTCTTTCATTCCTGCGCCTGTAAAAAGTAATTATACCATTAATTGTCTTTCGTCTGCCTAATACAAGTAATTATATCAATACCTTTAGTTCTTTCTTTGGTGTTCATGATGCAGATAATGATACAGTTAGTTCTTTCTTTGGTGTTCCTGATGCAGGTAATGATACAGTTAGTTCTTTCTTTGTTGTTCATGATGCAGGTAATGATACCGTTAGTTCTTTCTTTGGTGTTCCTGATGCAGGTAATGATACCGTTAGTTCTTTCTTTGGTGTTCATGATGCAGGTAATGATACAGTTAGTTCTTTCTTTGGTGTTCATGATGCAGGTAATGATACCGTTAGTTCTTTCTTTGGTGTTCATGATACAGGTAATGATACCTTAGTTGTTTCTTTGGTGTTCCTGATGCAGGTAATGATACCGTTAGTTCTTTCTTTGGTGTTCATGATACAGGTAATGATACAGTTAGTTCTTTCTTTGGTGTTCATGATGCAGGTAATGATACAATTAGTTCTTTTTTGTGTTCATGATGCAGGTAATGATACAGTTAGTTCTTTCTTTGGTGTTCATGATACAGGTAATTATACCTTTAGTTCTTTGTTTGGTGTTCATGATGCAGGTAATGATACTGTTAGTTCTTTCTTTGGTGTTCATGATGCAGGGAATTATACATTTAGTTCTTTCTTTGGTGTTTCTGATGCAGGTAATGATATAGTTAGTTCTTTTTTCTTTTGTGTGTTCATGATACAGGTAATGATACCGTTAGTACTTTCTTTGGTGTTCATGATGCAGGTAATTATACAGTTAGTTCTTTCTTTGGTGTTCATGATGCAGGTAATGATACAGTTAGTTCTTTCTTTGGTGTTCATGATGCAGGTAATGATACAGTTAGTTCTTTCTTTGGTGTTCATGATACAGGTAATGATACAGTTAGTTCTTTCTTTGGTGTTCATGATGCAGGTAATGATACAGTTAGTTCTTTCTTTGTATTCATGATGCAGGTAATGATACCGTTAGTACTTTCTTTGGTGTTCATGATACAGGTAATGATACAGTTAGTTCTTTCTTTGGTGTTCATGATGCAGGTAATGATACCGTTAGTACTTTCTTTGGTGTTCATGATGCAGGTAATGATACCGTTATTACTTTCTTTGGTGTTCATGATGCAGGTAATGATACAGTTAGTACTTTCTTTGGTGTTCATGATACAGGTAATGATACAGTTAGTTCTTTCTTTGGTGTTCATGATGCAGGGAATTATACCTTTAGTTCTTTCTTTGGTGTTCCTGATGCAGGTAATGATACAGTTAGTTCTTTCTTTGGTGTTCATGATGCAGGTAATGATACAGTTAGTTCTTTCTTTGGTGTTCATGATGCAGGTAATGATACAGTTAGTTCTTTATTTGGTGTTCATGATGCAGGTAATTATACAGTTAGTTCTTTCTTTGGTGTTCATGATGCAGGTAATTATACAGTTAGTTCTTTCTTTGGTGTTCATGATGCAGGTAATGATACAGTTAGTTCTTTCTTTGGTGTTCATGATGCAGGTAATGATACAGTTAGTTCTTTATTTGGTGTTCATGATGCAGGTAATTATACAGTTAGTTCTTTCTTTGGTGTTCATGATGCAGGTAATTATACAGTTAGTTCTTTCTTTGGTGTTCATGATGCAGGTAATGATACAGTTAGTTCTTTCTTTGGTGTTCATGATGCAGGTAATGATACAGTTAGTTCTTTCTTTGTATTCATGATGCAGGTAATGATACTGTTAGTTCTTTCTTTGTTGTTCATGATACAGGTAATGATACCGTTATTATCTTTCTTTTTTTCTTTCTTTTATTTCCTTTCTTTCTTTCTTTCTTTCTTTCTTTCTTTCTTTCTTTCTTTCTTTCTTTCTTTCTTTCTTTCTTTCTTTCTTTCTTTCTTTCTTTCTTTCTTTCTTTCTTTCTTTCTTTCCTTTATTCAATATTTCTTTCTTCCTTTCTTATTGTCCTTCATGGACATGATGCAAAGGCATATATAGCGTATTATAATTATGGGTTTTATAAAAAAAAATGAATGTTTTTTTACGGATATGATCCCCATTATAATGTTAGAACACGTGTGGCATAACATCGTTAAACGTGGATAACTCTAATAACAGGCGTAATCTTGCTGTTTTTGTACTGTGTACGATACAATACCAATGTAAAAGGTATTGTATAGGTGCTGCGCTTTTGCTGGCTATCGTGCTTGCACCGATTATTACTTTTGCACCGGGTACCGGTACAATACTTGCACATACTATACATCTATAGTGTTTTGCACTTTTAGCAAATACTGGACTTATGATGGGTACGTTCCTTGTACGACACAGGGTAGTGTACTTGTGATGGGTACGTTTCTTGTACGACACAGGGTAGTGCACTTGTGATGGGTACGTTCTTTGTATGACACAGGGTAGTGCACTTGTGATGGGTACGTTTCTTGTACGACACAGGGTAGTGCACTTGTGATGGGTACGTTCCTTGTACGACACAGGGTAGTGCACTTGTGATGGGTACGTTCCTTGTACGACACAGGGTAGTGCACTTGTGATGGGTACGTTCCTTGTGCGACACAGGGTAGCGCACTTGTGATGGGTACGCTCCTTGTACGACACAGGGTAGTGAACTTGTGATGGGTACGCTCCTTGTACGACACAGGGTAGTGAACTTGTGATGGGTACTCTCCTTGTACGACACAGAGTAGTGCACTTGTTGTGGGTACGCTCCTTGTACGACACAGGGTAGTGCACTTGTCATAGTTACTTTTCATATACCGCTTGTTTTATTAATGTCCTTGGTATTTTTTTTTTTTGTACAAGGCACGCTGTTTGCATGTTACTTACTGCACCAGTAATTATTACTTCCATTTTACCCTTTCAGTACTTGTATGGATGCACTTTTTATTTAGAGTATAGTTATAATTTTTAACGATATTCTAAAATAACTTGGTTACATATAATGTATTTAGGTCATTTTACCCTTCTAGATCAGGGCCAAACTTTTTGTGCTCAGTTCCAACCTTTTTGTTCTCAAGGCCAACCTTTTTGTACTAAATTCCAACTTTTTTTTGTGCCCAATGCCAACCTTTTTGTGGTCATGGTCAACATTTGTTTCCCAGGGCCACCTTTTTTGTGCTCAAGGCCAACCTTTTTATGGTCAGTGCCAAACATTTTTGTTCTCATGCATGGTAATTTTTTTTTTTTTGCACAGGGCCAACATTTGTGTGCTCAGGGCCAACCATTTTGTGCTCATGGCCAGCCTTTTAGTACCCAGGGCCAACATTTGTGTGCTCAGGGCCAACGTTTTGTGCTCGTGACCAACATTTGTGTGCTCGTGGCCAACATTTGTGTGCTCAAGGCCAACATTTTTTGTGTCCCTGTTTGTTCCAGATTCTTGAGTCACGTATTTTACGCATGGATTTTGTTAGATATTTAACACATGACATAAAGAGTATTCGTGAACTTGAAATCTACTTTGACATGTATAAGACCAGACTAAGGTCTGACGAAATCTACTTTGACAAGTATAAGACCAGACTAAGGTCTGACGAAATCTACTTTGACAAGTATAAGACCAGACTAAGGTCTGACGAAATCTACTTTGACAAGTATAAGACCAGACTAAGGTCTGACGAAATCTACTTTGACAAGTATAAGACCAGACTAAGGTCTGACGAAATCTACTTTGACAAGTATAAGACCAGACTAAGGTCTGACGAAATCTACTTTGACAAGTATAAGACCAGACTAAGGTCTGACGAAATCTACTTTGACAAGTATAAGACCAGACTAAGGTCTGACGAAATCTACTTTGACAAGTATAAGACCAGACTAAGGTCTGACGAAATCTACTTTGACAAGTATAAGACCAGACTAAGGTCTGACGAAATCTACTTTGACAAGTATAACACCAGACTAAGGTCTGACGAAATCTACTTTGACAAGTATAAGACCAGACTAAGGTCTGACGAAATCTACTTTGACAAGTATAAGACCAGACTAAGGTCTGACGAAATCTACTTTGACAAGTATAATACCAGACTAAGGTCTGACGAAATCTACTTTGACATGTATAAGACCAGACTAAGATAGTGGATATGTATCTTGAAATGTAGAAGTCCAGAGTAAGGTCAGTGGATATGTATCTTGACATGTATAAGACAAGACAAGATATTTGGAGATCTACTTGACATTTATAAGACAAGACAAGATATTTGGAAATATACTTGATATGTATAAGGCAAGACAAGATATTTTGAAATCTACTTTGACATGTATAAGACAAGACAAGATATGTGGAGATCTATCTTGACATGTATAATACCATACTAAGATTTGTTGAAATCTACTTTGACATCTATAAGACAAGACAAGATATGTGGAAATCTTCTTTGACATGTATAAGACAAGGCTAAGATATGTGGAATCTACTTTGACATGTATGAGACAACACAAGATATGTGGAAATCTACTTTGACATGTATAAGACCATACTAAGATCTGTTGAAATCTACTTTGACATCTGTAAGACAAGACAAGATCTGTGGAAATCCTAGATTAAACAAATTCATTCAAGCTATCGTGAATAAAGGCCCTGGAAATTTGACCGCCTACTTTAACATGTTAATTCTTGAAGCATGGCGGAATGACAGCATTTCTCTTCATGTATTGTTGAAACTGCGATACAATTTTTAAAAATTGAAAACATATATCAGAAAGAACAAAGTTGAAATCGTTATAAAAATGTTAAATCTCATTGTACATGTGAAATAAAATCCAATGAAGCGTTAAATAATTTTAACAAGACAAGTGTAGGGTGTAGAGTGTAGATTTCAATTAGAAAAAGAAAATATGACCGTCCGTTGATAGAATCTCTTGGAAACGTGCACCGTCAAGACCAGTGGATACAACTAACTCTTGTATATTCAGAATGGATGGTTGATGAACCAGTCATTTATGAAAACTTTCAGCTACTCCCTCGAGCAAATAGATCCGAGCGTCTTCAGTGTCATTTTTCTTTTATGCCACTCGCTGTCTTACAATAAGCTTCTTCGCCATGCAGTCGATTCTTCTTTGGTGTTTGTCATCTTTTTTTGTTCTTTCTTTCACTATGCTGTCCTCTCGTTGTTATTCAAAGCGCTCTACTGGTTGACGGCTCATCAGTGTGTGGACACGTCGACTCTGGAATCTGATGGAGATAGGCATGCCACCTGTAAAGTAAACAACAATCTTCGATACTTAAAGGATCAAATTTGATTTTTAATTAAAGAGTCCTTTTACATAAGTGGTTTTCAAACATTTTTCGGCCAGCTCAACTCTTTTTGGCATCATAATCATATGCCTAGCGCAAACTAAAAAAATAAATAAATAAAAATATAAAATGAAATAAAATGTATATATATATCTATATCTATCTATGTATATACATCTATATATCTATATCTATCTATATCTATATAACATACATATACATATATATATAATAAGAAAAAGAACACGAGTTAGCATCACTTTGTAAGGAGGCTAAAAAGACAATTAAATGTAATAGTATTACATATAATTGAAGTCTAATGAAAATTTTTAAAACATTTTAAAAATTAACTTGTACATAATTTATTAACTTGATCCATCAATACTACAGGTTTTTTTTAATAGAATTATTATTATGTACTTGTCAATACTAATTTACTTGTATATCGCTCAAGCATGAGCTTTTTATAATGTGATGCCCTGTCTTCTATTCCTCATTTAAGGTAACTTCCAATGTGCATAATAATTACATCAGATTTTTGCCGAAGCCGAAACTCACAGGACGATTTCTTAAACTTTGGCTTCGGCTTCTGAATGAACTATTCATCAAAATAACCAAGTGCTTCAGCAACTCAAGATGGATTTATCACACAATCTAAAATTTCAATTAAAGATGATTCTAAAATCACTCAGACACAATTTTTATGTACCATATACATATTTTCACAAGAAGTTTTAAGCAGTAGCGTCACTAGTGGGTGATACTGTCACAATGGCGGAAAAGGGGGGGGGGGCACCAAATAAAAAAAAATAGACACAAGTTCGTTTCAAAACAGAACTCATTTAAATAAAGGTGAGAACAGTCAGAGCAGGTGGCCATCGGATTGCCAAGAGAGACAGTCACATTAAATCAAGTAGGAGTCAGAAAAGTTTGCCACTAGAGCAGGATATCACCACATCAGGGTGTCACTAGAGCAGGATATCACCACATCAGATTGTCACTAGAGCAGGATATCACCACATCAGGGTGTCACCAGAACAGGATATAACCCCATCAGGGTGTCACCAGAGCAGGATATCACCACATCAGGGTGTCTCCAGAGCAGGATATCACCACATCAGGGGGTCAATAGAGCAGGATAGCACCACATCAGGGTGTCACCAGAGCAGGATATCACCACAGCAGGGTGTCACAAGGATATCACCACATCAGGGTGTCACTATAGCAGAATATCACCACATCAGGGTGTCAGTAGAGCAGGATATCACAACAGCAAGCTTTCACCAGAGCAGGATATCACCACATCAGGGTGTCACCAGAGCAGGATATCACCACATCAGGGTGTCACTATAGCAGAATATCACCACATCAGGGTGTCAGTAGAGCAGGATATCACAACAGCAAGCTTTCACCAGAGCAGGATATCACCACATCAGGGTGTCACCAGAGAAGGATATCACCACAGCATGGTGTCACTAGAGCAGGATCTCACCACATCAGGGTGTCACCAGAGCAGGGTGACACTAGCGTAGGGTGTCACCAGAGCAGGGTGTCACCAGAGCAGGGTGTCACCAGAGCAGGGTGTCACCAGAGAAGGGTGTCACAACAGCAGGATGTCACCAGCGTAGGGTATTACCACAGCAGGGTGTCACCAGAGCAGGGTGTCACCAGAGTAGGGTGTCACCAGAGCAAGGTTTCACCAGAGTAGTGTATCACCAGAGCAGGGTGTCACCAGAGTAGGGTGTCACCACAGCAGGGTGTCACCAGAGTAGGGTGTCAACAGAGTAGTGTGTCACCAGAGCAGGGTGCCCCCAGAATAGAGTGTCACCCGAGTAGTCTGTCACCAGAGCAGGGAGTCACCAGAGTAGGATTCACCAGAGTAGTGTGTCACCAGAGCAGGGTGTCACCAGAGTCGAGTGTCACAAGAGCAGGGTGTCAGTAGGGTGTCAAAAGAGTAGTGTGTCACCAGAGCAGGGTGCCCCCAGAATAGAGTGTCACCCGAGTAGTCTGTCACCAGAGCAGGGTGTCACCAGAGTAGGATTCACCAGAGTAGTGTGTCACCAGAGCAGGGTGTCACCAGAGTAGAGTGTCACCAGAGCAGGGTGTCGTCACCAGAGCAGGGTGTCACCACAGCAGGGTGTCACCAGAGCAGGGTGTCACCAGAGCAGGCAGACTCAATGAGGTGTATGGGACAGTTTGAAAATCAGGTTGCGCGACACGTCTGGTTTACAGCAATGGGTAACATTTGTGACGTCACTTAATTTGTCATCTTGTCAGCCCCCATCCCGCCCGTTTTTCTCTTTTAGGTCCCATGGATATTGCGCAGTAATGAAAGAAAAGTTGATTCACTTTCTTTATAACTGATAAACCTTATCTCAAAGCAAATGTAAATTGATTTTTCTGTAAATCTTTCTGGCAATAAGCGAATAGCTGAGTCGTGTCCGAGTCGGGTCTGAGTTATGTCTTAGTCGTATCTGAGTCATGTCTGAATCTTGTCTTAGTCGTGTTTTAGTCGTGTCTGAGTCGTGTTTGAGTCATGTCTGAATCGTGTCCGAGTCTTGTCTGGTGCCTTTGTGTCAGGGCTGATAGATGCCTTAATATTTTTAACAACGTCCACAGTGTCCAACAGCCTCTAAACGTGACTTACACACTCGCATTATTTAAAGTCTTTAAACGCTCAGTTTTAACCACCAGATGTCTGCGAGGAATGAAACACTACGAAGAAAAATAAACAATACCACGGCAGCAACCGGCCCCGGGGGGTAAGTTGTTGTCACTTTATAATAAGTCAACAAGTAAGCACAGTCACAGCGCTCTCCCTTAGACAAATGACTTTTGAATAAACAAGACTTAGAACATTCATGAAAACAGAGTCATAAAGTGAAACAGTGTAAGTAAGTAAGCGTTATATTTATGTCTCGTTTATGTGTCCAGTCAGTGTGTACACAAACATGTCGGCGGGTCTACTCTAAAATACCTTCACCACATTTGTACAGTTAAGGACTGCGCCTTACTTAGTCAATCATGTCTTGTTGTTCACATACCCCTCACACAGATGGGCTGATGTCTATTTATGACTCTTTTTCAAGGCAAGTAATCAAAGATCTATGTAATTTTAATTTTAAAAAAAAAAAGAAAAAGATTTTCTTAAATAACTTACCACCACCCCCTTGGATCACTTTACCACACCCCTGGGACATCTCATGACCTTCTTCGGGGGAGGGGGGGGGAATACCAATCAATTTGAGAACCACTGTTTAAATTTTTTTTAATTTAAAAAAAAAAAAAAAAAAAAACCTGCCATGTAATCTCGCTTTCGGAACAAGGTGGATTTCATGGAGAATCAAAGGTAGCCCTAGCAGCACTTGGACTAAAGGAACGCCACATGTTGGAAACACCTTAGTGGCAACGCCGTCGCCGGATTGGGCTGGATTTGACATAGGTGTTCAGAACACTCAGATTTTTTTATTTATCTTTTTTGTGTGTTTTCCTGACTTAAACATTTTTAGTCGGAAAAGTTTCCACTCTCTTGAATGAGCCAAGAGAAGTCCCTGGATTACGGATTAGTCTCGATTGGTTGGTCTTATCCTGGCCTGGACACACCTTTCCACATGTGTGTCAAACAAAAGTACTTATCTTCTCATATGTCATAATTTGCTTATATAATGCGCCCCCCCCTTTTCTCCAAGTTTTCTGTAATGGATAGTTCAGACACCTGTTCCTTGTCAGTTGCTTCTCTGTTGCTAGTCACATATTATATTGGATATTTTATGCGTCTCACTCAGCAACCTACCTGTTTCTGTACTACTGGACCGAAATTGGCTACTCATGAGTTTTTAAAATACATGAATAATGAAACCAAAAAAAATGTTTAGCTCACCATGGATGGCGTATTATTGCTTATAACAAATTAAAAGGTAGTGCAATGTTAAACATTTTTAATGTAATACTTTAGTTATTGTATGCGTAAATATCTCTCTACTGCTAACAAGGCAAATATGTAAACTGTGCCGGCTTTGTTATGACCTTTACAGCTCTCCACCGAGTAAAGGATATTATAAGTTACCGATACTTGCGATATTAGTCAACCGGGGTCAGAAACAGGTGGGTCTACAGCCCACGAAGCAGGGGCGTGGCAAGGGGGCCCAATATTCTATTCACCTGGGGACCAAGCTAACGCTGTCTGTTTATACGAATGAACTAAATGCACTTGCCATGAAGCCAACTTACCATCCAATGTCAAGGCTTTCCTTACCAATGGTGTGCAGCTCCAAACAGATTTTATTGTGGCACCTCGTAAGTTCTGGCGCACTCTGTGCCGACACGGGACGCTGGAGCGCTGAAACGAATCCGATCAGAAATGGCCTTGACATTTTTAGAACAAGACGTTTTCAAGGAAAGACCTCGAGCTGAAGAGAATTGGCAGAAACCATGAGACAACCGTAATAATTAAATATGATTATGTTTATGTTTTGTTAACAAGCCAAGCACGTGTGTGTCTGTGGGCGTGTGTGAGTGATTACGCCATCGTTTTCATTAGCCTCGCCAGGGCCTGGGTTCAGCAAACCGTACGTAATCCCTCTTCAGTCCAAAAGCAAAATAAAGAGGTGAGATGTCCCATTATGCATTTATTGTTCCGTTAAAATTAATTTAAAAAATTCATATTCTTTGGTGCCCTTTTTTTACATTTAAAAATGTGCATTTTTTGTAATTTCATATGCACGTGGGTCAGCGAGTGGAGTGCGTAAATGTATGTGTGTGTGTGTGAGAGAAAGAGAGAAAGAGTGTGTGTGTGTGAGAGAGAGAGAGATAAAGAGAGAGAGAGAGATAAAGAGAGAGAGAGAGAGAGAGATAAAGAGAGAGAGAGCTACTATTGTGAACAAAATAACAGTATCGTCCTGGCGCGACCTCAATAAACTAAAGCATGTTAAAAATAAAATTACTTTGATAAGAACAGCAGCACGAGTTTAACTTTGCAATGAATGTTTTGAAGTGATGGCTGAAAAGAATAACAAATAATTTATTCGAACATACTTATTGGGGGCAAAGCCTTTCGCATAGATTTAGTGACGTCAGCTTTGTGCATCAGATGGGCGTGGTTATCCCAACTGTTTTCAGACTTGTCCTCACCATCAACTCCTCGTTTTGAAGTGGACGCACCATCTGCTCTAGCCGAGGCGGCTGCGGTTCTTTGTGGTGCTGCCGCCGCACCAGGGACGCACCAGGGCGTGGCGTCTGCCGATCGAGTTGCTTGTCTCTCCGCGGCCACCGCAGGGGATCTCTGCAGATTGTGGGAGGCCTCCTGACGACGTTGCCTTTGGCGTCTCTGCAAGGTCCTATTGGCAAGCTTGTCCTCCTGCAGGCTGTCCGTCTTTTTACTTCTTGACGTCATCTCCGTGACCGCCTTGGCGTCGAGGCGACCGCTCTCTCCTCGCAGCAACGCCCTGTACTTCAGCGATATCTTTTTCTTTGACTTGGGGGGATCCACCTCGTCCTGAGCCGCTTTGGAAACCTCTTTTTGATTGGCCGGGTTTGCGAGACGTTTGTGCTTCGACGCCTTGCGAGGCGAGTTATTGCCTCTCGTTTTACACCTTGACGGCCCGGCTGTCTCTTTCGAGTTCGTTTCGCAGGACGATTGAAATGAAATCATGCTCATGCGATCACAGAGGTCTATGCTTGTTGTCGGATCAGTCTGAGTCTCGCTTGCTGGTTCGACGTCAAAGAGAGTAAGATACTCTCGGGTCTTCGACGGCGTCACTGATCTATTGTTGCAGCGGTTCATCTGTTTGGCCCTGGCTTCTAGAGGAGCGTTCAGGGAGATCACGCTGGCGACCGGCCTTGTGTACACGACAGACATATTGTCAATATACCAGTTGGACGGTCCGTCCTTTTTCGTCTCGTTGGCTCGAACTTCGCTGCTTGAGGTCTCGCCCTGATTACTCGTCGTGATTGGTTTGTGATCCCGCGACTGGATAATATCAGAATCAGATTGGACTCTGTTCTGCTGTTGAGATTTCAACTTCATACAATTATCAAAACGATCGTGAATTTTTTTCCGTGTACATTTTAGGGACTGGGTTTTCCCTTTTCCATTTACCACATCAACCAATAATTGATCAGAGTTTGAAATTTTAGATTCGATTTTCTTTTTCTTCCTACACCCGACGGGACCGTTTGATAAGCTGGCAGACACGGGCCTCACATTTTCAGTAGCGGAGGAACTTGTCACATCCATTGGATCGCTTCTGGATGAACTGGAGGCAACCGAAGCCCATGTCCTCGGTGAAAAAACATTGTTCTCAACGCCAGAAGTGCTCGCTTGTTGATCCGACCTCGTGTTATCATTGATGCGCACTGCGACTATGTCCGCCCAGCGCCGTCTTGTAAGCCCTGTAATTGATTTGCTCTGTTTATTTTTTACAATCTCCTTGGCCGTTTCTTTGACCAATCCCTTGAGGCGCCCAGATGCCGGTAGCGATGGCCAATCCGGGTTTTCCGATGATCCGCACGTATGCAAGTGTGACGAGGACGTGGCCGATAACCTCGACACGCTTTTAGGGAAGGCGCCCTCGGGTTTTCGGGCAGCACGTTTGGTCCTCCTGGGATGTTTCCCTCTGTCCTTGGTGACGTCGGTCCTCCCGTGGCTCGGCCCCGCCTCAAACATGTCGATGAGGTCGAGCGTCTGGCGGCGTGTGCGCCCTTTGTTCCGTTTGTTCACGCGCTGTTCAGATGGTCTTGGCTCGGCGTCTTCACCCGGCGGCGGCGCACTGGATTCCAACGGGTGGGTCCCGGGCGACGCTTCACTTTCCTGGCCCAACGTTTCGACCTCCCCGGTAGTTGTCTCGCGAAACTGTAGTCCTTCGATTTCTTCGGTCAAGGATGAAGCGATCAGCTGGACGTCGTCCTTCAGCTTATCCAGTCTCCGTCGGAGCATCTTCAGTTTCTTCGATCCTTTGGTGTTCTGGCTGGGTTGTGGAATGGGCGCTCGTCTGTGTCGTAGGGACATGGTTAGTTTTGGTCCTGTTGATGTACAAGCAAGGAGTTATGCACAAGCAAGAAGTGTATGTACAAGCAAGAAGTGTATGTACAATCTAGAAATGTATGTACAAGTAAGAAGTGTATGTACAAGCGAGAAGTTTATGTGCATATATTATTATTTATTTTCCCTCTCAACTCATTCTCTGACGCTTAGCTGCTTAGCTAAAGCGATTCACGTGGTCTCATTTGGTTAGCCAATCAATCTCATCGCACTTTCTCATTTGGTTAGCCAATCAATCTCATCGCACTCTCTCATTTGGTTAGCCAATCAATCTCATCGCACTCTCTCATTTGGTTAGCCAATCAATCTCATCGCACTTTCTCATTTGGTTAGCCAATCAATCTCATCGCCATTTCTCATTTGGTTAGCTAATCAATGGCCTCGCACTCTCTCATTTGGTTAGCCAATCAATCTCATCGCACTTTCTCATTTGGTTAGCCAATCAATCTCATCGCCATTTCTCATTTGGTTAGCTAATCAATGGCCTCGCACTCTCTCATTTGGTCAGCCAATCAATCTCATCGCACTCTCTCATATAGTTTGCTCATTTCATTCCAAAGGACCCACATCTTTAGCCAAACTCAATAATAGTATGATATAGGATTATCTCAGGTTGTTCTCCTCGCGCCCCCCCCTTCCCCCCCCCTAAAAGTCTCATGTAGTTAGTTGAAACTATGTTCAGAGAATGAATGAACTCGCCAGCTTACTTCCAATCGACCTAGCAACCAGTCCTCTGCGCTTGATCGTTTTTCGTTTAGTCTTGTCTTTCTTGGCTCTGCTTCGATTGGGTCTAGTAGGCTGCTCGTGTCTGATGGCGTTGATATTAGTGTCTATCCCATGATGCTCTGACTCGCCCGACACTGACGGGGTGGAGTGATGTGACGTCGTTTCCGCTCTGGGAGGAGCCATGCTTGATGAAGTGCTCGGTAAGCTTGCATCTGAGTTTGTCGGTAGGACTAAGCAATGTAGGGACCAAATTAGTTCATTCGTTTACCTCATATTTATATAACGTTATGAAAATAATTTGAAAACGTTTGGGTAAGGCTGGGGGGGGGGGGGGGGGGGGGGGCCATGATTGGGGGGTTTTTTTTTTTATTTGTTTACCTCATATTTATATAATGTTGTGAGAATAATTTGGAAGCGGTTGGGTAAGGTTGGGGGGGGGGGTGGATGGGACCATGCATGAGCGGTTCTATTTTTTTAATCATTGTTTTTCATGTGCTGTGCTTCGTGTGCTGTGCTTCATGTGCTGTGTTTCATGTGCTGTGTTTCATGTGCTGTGTTTCATGTGCTGTGCTTCATGTGCTGTGCTTCATGTGCTGTGCTTCGTGTGCTGTGCTTCGTGTGCTGTGCTTCGTGTGCTGTGCTTCATGTGCTGTGCTTCATGTGCTGTGTTTCATGTGCTGTGTTTCATGTGCTGTGCTTCGTGTGCTGTGCTTCATGTGCTGTGTTTCGTGTGCTGTGCTTCATGTGCTGTGTTTCATGTGCTGTGTTTCGTGTGCTGTGCTTCATGTGCTGTGTTTCATGTGCTGTGTTTCATGTGCTGTGCTTCGTGTGCTGTGCTTCATGTGCTGTGTTTCATGTGCTGTGCTTCGTGTGCTGTGCTTCATGTGCTGTGTTTCGTGTGCTGTGCTTCATGTGCTGTGTTTCGTGTGCTGTGCTTCATGTGCTGTGCTTCATGTGCTGTGTTTCATGTGCTGTGTTTCATGTGCTGTGTTCGTGTGCTGTGCCTCACGTGCTGTACTATGTCAGCTCAATAAATATTTCTAATCTTTGGTGTGTGAAAAATGTGATGTTCAGAACAGTGGAGCCAATGGCATTTAAGTTTTATAATAAATGTGAGTACTTATTTATATTTTTTTTGCCATCAACGTATTACTTTGTGTTCGACGTCACATGTTTCTATGTTGTTGTTGATGTCATTGTTGTTGTTCTTGTGTTTGTGTGTGTGTTTTTTTACATTTTGCAGTTGTCTTTGTAAGTCAATAATTAATGAGAAATGTATTTTGTTTTTAATGTTGAAAATGATTTAATAATTTAGATTTCATTCCAATTGGCGCGAGACTTGATTTCCATCTGTGTGCGAGTCTCCATAAAAACATTCATAGGAATTCTAAATATAGAACACGTTGGGAAATCCTAGGCTGTGGCAGCACATCTCAGTTATGCAACACACGAGGAAAGCGAGTCAGCCAAACCACTTTAGGCTAATGCTAAGAGCTACGCAACCCTCAAACCCATCTTATTAAAATCAATTTTAGCCTTCCAAGTTTTCAGAACTAAACTTTCTAAATAAACTAAATTGTCACATACCTTGTGTCACATCCCCATTCTCGACAGGGGGGTCGTCCATACTGGCCTCACCGTCTTCACCACGACCCACCCCGTCTGGGTGGGGCTCCTGGGCCTTGTCTCTCCACCCCAGGTGTAAGATGTGAACCAGGCTCACGCCCTTGTTATAAATGGTCGTCTTCTCTATCCTTCTGCGGATCAGTCTGCCGATGATGGCCAGAGCGTGTCGCGGGGAGGGAGTCTTCTGGCACCGGTTCTTGGCTCGTTTTGTATGTCTACGCCTTCTCATTGCACAAGGCGGCGACCTGCACTGCTGACATGGACATGAAGAGTCAACGGATCGAATGACAAACGGATCTTTTCTTTACACCGGAGGTAAACGGAAATGCAGTGTTCAAAATCAGCCATTGCGTATGTGTTGCTAAGGCTAAAAATGAGAATGGAAGTTCCAAATGAGGATGGATCGGAAATGACGTCAGCGTGAGGAACCGAATTTATTAATTGGGGTAGAGAGTAGAACTTGTACTGCCTAGTTCATAACTTTTTGCACTCCTGGTGAACAATACTATTCGATTCCATCTGATACTTACCAGATTTTTGTTATTCGTCCTTCCCATGCAAAGACGTTTCAATGAAATAGGAAAAACATTGTATTTGAAAGGGTAAATAACGACACAATACATCCAAAAGGACTTAGAAGAAGTAGACCAGAAGATGATCAAGGGATCTGTATTTAACAGTGGATGGGCAGGGCTCTAATCTATTTTAGCGGAACGTTGAACACGTGTCCTAACGGTATTGGAGGTGATAGTGCGTTTCCTGGTACGTGTAATCTCCGGCTAGTGTTTTACATGTGTGCCGGTCAACATCAATGGATTAAAAAAGATATTCTGAGACAATCTCTGAAAAAAAATTTCTGCCCTTCAACTGAGCGTTTCCTTCTGTTCATCGTACATTAGTCGTTTGTGCTGTCTGCTAGTGCTGTCTGTTAGTGCTGTCTGTTAGTGCTGTCTGTTAGTGCTGTCTGTTAGTGCTGTCTGTTAGTGTTGTCTGTTAGTGCTGTCTGTTAGTGCTGTCTGTTAGTGCTGTCTGTTAGTGCTGTCTGTTAGTGCTGTCTGTTAGTGAAGTCTGTTACAGAAGTCTGTTATCTGGCATGCTCATAATACGTCCAGCCCATTGGCTTGTTTTTTTAATAGAGCGTTTGGACATGGGTGCCGAGAAAGCCGGTCTGTTCGGGTGCTGAGATAGCCGGTCTATGTCGGTGCTGAGAAAGACGGTCAATTTTAGGACTTCTGTATTGGCCAATTTGAAGTTCAACCGCATGCCAAGAAGCTGGATGGAGATAGATGGTTTCTAACAAGTCTTTGTACACTTTCCACGCCTCACTGGCGTATCGGATAGATTTTAATACCAAATACCGATAACTCTTGGCACCCAGACACTGGTGCGTACTATTCAGACTACGGCGTGTGCTTTCAAAATGTAGTCTTACTCTGATTTTGTCTTCTATTGTAGCTTACAATGCGTGCGAACTTTCTGTTCAGTAAAATGTGAGAATCCTTGTAAAGTTTACTGGAGCTGGCTGGTGCAATGTGAGCATCCTTGTAAGAGTTTACTTGAGCTGGCTGGTGCAAGAATCTCTTTTTGTTTGTTTATATTTTGTCGTTGCAGTATGTGTCGCAGGCATGTATTGAATCAATCTGCATCTCCAGGTATGAGATAGCCTTTAGTGCGCAGTCATGTCATCAGCGAGTAAGGGGTTTCTAATGAACGATTATTAGACCTTCGTAAAAGCTGCAGTCACCTGAGATTGAACAGCCATGCGTCAGTCCTGTGTCTTAAATAGGTATACCTGCCAATTTTGTCAGGAAAAGCATCAGCAAGCTTGTCTGAGAATCCATGCTGAAATTTGTTTGGCCAAGACCGCAGCCTTGTTTTTCACCATAAGTTACGGGGGAAAAGTTAGAGTCATCTCCTGCATCCAGTACCCTGGCTATCAGGTAGTTGTTTTTCGTGATAGGCCTCCTGGCCATCATGCCCTCATGTAGTTGTCTGTTGTAATAGACCTCCTGGCCATCATGCCCTCATGTAGTTCTCTGTTGTGATAGACCTCCTGGCCATCATGCCCTCATGTAGTTGCCTGTCGTGATAGACCTCCTGGCCATCATGCACACATGTAGTTGTCTGTCGTGATAGACCTCCATGCTATCATGCCCTCATGTATTTGTCTGTCGTGATAGACCTCCTGGCCATCATGCCCTCATGTAGTTGTCTGTCGTGATAGACCTCCTGGCCATCATGCCCTCATGTAGTTGTCTGTCGTTATAGACCTCCTGGACATCATGCCCTCATGTAGTTGTCTGTCGTGTTAACCTACTGGTCATCATGTACACATGTAGTTGTCTGTCGTGTTAACCTACTGGTCATCATGTACGCATGTAGTTGTCTGTCGTGTTAACCTACTGGTCATCATGCCCTCATGTAGTTGTCTGTCGTGTTAACCTACTGGCCATCATGCCCTCATGTAATGTGTCTGTCGTGTTAACCTACTGGTCATCATGTACGCATGTAGTTGTCTGTCGTGTTAACCTACTGGCCATCATGCCCTCATGTAGTTGTCTGTCGTGTTAACCTACTGGTCATCATGCCCTCATGTAGTTGTCTGTCGTGTTAACCTACTGGTCATCATGTACGCATGTAGTTGTCTGTCGTGTTAACCTACTGGTCATCATGCACACATGTAGTTGTCTGTCGTGTTAACCTACTGGCCATCATGCCCTCATGTAGTTGTCTGTCGTGTTAACCTACTGGTCATCATGTACGCATGTAGTTGTCTGTCGTGTTAACCTACTGGTCATCATGCACACATGTAGTTGTCTGTCGTGTTAACCTACTGGCCATCATGCCCTCATGTAGTTGTCTGTCGTGTTAACCTTCTGGTCATCATGTACGCATGTAGTTGTCTGTCGTGATAGACCTCCTGGCCATCATGCACACATGTAGTTGTCTGTCGTGTTAACCTACTGGTCATCATGCACATGTAGTTTTCTGTCGTGTTAACCAACTGGTCATCATGCACACATGTAGTTGTCTGTCGTGTTAACCTACTGGTCATCATGTACGCATGTAGTTGTCTGTCGTGTTAACCTACTGGTCGTCATGCACACATGTAGTTGACTGTCGTGTTAACCTACTGGTCATCATGTACGCATGTAGTTGTCTGTCGTGTTAACCTACCGGTCATCATGTACGCATGTAGTTGTCTGTCGTGTTAACCTACTGGTCATCATGCACACATGTAGTTGCCTGTCGTGATAGACCTCCTGGCCATCATGCCCTCATGTAATTCTCTGTCGTGATAGACCTCCTGGCCATCATGCCCTCATGTAATTCTCTGTCGTGATAGACCTCCTGGCCATCATGCACACATGTAGTTGTCTGTCGTGTTAACCTACTGGTCATCATGCACACATGTAGTTGTCTGTCGTGTTAACCTACTGGTCATCATGTACGCATGTAGTTGTCTGTCGTGTTAACCTACTGGTCATCATGCACACATGTAGTTGTCTGTCGTGTTAACCTACTGGTCATCATGTACGCATGTAGTTGTCTGTCGTGTTAACCTACTGGTCATCATGCACACATGTAGTTGTCTGTCGTGTTAACCTACTGGTCATCATGTACGCATGTAGTTGTCTGTCGTGTTAACCTACTGGTCATCATGCACACATGTAGTTGTCTGTCGTGTTAACCTACTGGTCATCATGTACGCATGTAGTTGTCTGTCGTGTTAACCTACTGGTCATCATGCACACATGTAGTTGTCTGTCGTGTTAACCTACTGGTCATCATGTACGCATGTAGTTGTCTGTCGTGTTAACCTACTGGTCATCATGCACACATGTAGTTGTCTGTCGTGTTAACCTACTGGTCATCATGTACGCATGTAGTTGTCTGTCGTGTTAACCTACTGGTCATCATGCACACATGTAGTTGTCTGTCGTGTTAACCTACTGGTCATCATGTACGCATGTAGTTGTCTGTCGTGTTAACCTACTGGTCATCATGCACACATGTAGTTGTCTGTCGTGTTAACCTACTGGTCATCATGTACGCATGTAGTTGTCTGTCGTGTTAACCTACTGGTCATCATGCACACATGTAGTTGTCTGTCGTGTTAACCTACTGGTCCTCATGTACGCATGTAGTTGTCTGTCGTGTTAACCTACTGGTCATCATGCACACACGTAGTTGTCTGTCGTGTTAACCTACTGGTCATCATGCACACATGTAGTTGTCTGTCGTGTTAACCTACTGGTCATCATGCACACATGTATTCTGTTACACCTACTGGAGCAGATAAAATTCTCCATTTTTTCCAAAGACTGTCTCTCTACTTTTGATACCATTTTATTCTATTCAAATTTGGAAATAATAATTTCTTTATAGTACTTTGTTGGTATAGTACCTTCAGTTTGTTGGTTTTAATAGTACCTTCAGTGTGCTGTCTAGTAAATTACCTTGTGATGCACATAGCGGTTGGTATAAAACATGGTTAAATATCAAGACTAGAGCACGATTTAGACCAGGAGTCACCAAACTACCATCCGCGGAGGTACTTGAATTAGCTCCATAAAACGCATGGAACAGGAGATTGTGTGGTACAATTTAAATATTATGTTTGGAATTAGGTACTTCAGTAAAACAAAATAACTCCAAAAAATTCTAAAAGTATTACAGTTACATAGAGCAAATTTAAATTATAAAAAAATTAATTCAGAATCCACTTTCTAGCTTTAGTGCTTTTAGGGCTGTGACTTGTTTAAGTAAGAGTTCGTTTGGTATTGTTTTACTATGGACTGCACCTCCACATTTAGTCTAGTGACCCCATTCCACTGACCGCGTCATGCGCAATAACTCTTGTTTATGTGATAATATCCTATTATAATTAGTTCAGGATTAATCATTAATGCCAAGTATTAACATTTCTAATTACTAAATTAATTTTAACAACATTCTGAAATTATAAATAAATATAGCTTATCTAGCTATTTAATATGCATTATTAAATTAAATACGATAGTGATGTTTTGTTTACCAAGTCTAGCGTTCATTTTATAAATAGCATATAGTCTATGCAGGCCTGCACAACATACGGCTTGCGGTCGCATGCGGCCCGCCATCACCCACTTTGTGGCCCGCGAAGTAACGAAATATTCTATTTCATTACACCCCCTCCCCCCCTCCCCGGTCATATTTTCTTTCGGCCCGAACAAGTTTTTCATTTTTCATAAAGTATTACATTTTGAGTTGTGCAGGCCTGATCTAAGGCATTGTAAGGAAAGGCGTCCCTTAAAATTAATGCTGATTTTGGTTTACTTATTTAAACTTCCAACCTTTGCACATGACTAATTAATGAAAGCTTTCTATGACCAATGATTTAATCGTTTCTTCACA